TATAAAAATACACCTATATTCTATCCTATTTTCACACGTTGAAAATGATTGCATTACAAATCAAGAAATATAAAGTCTATTATGATTTGGAAAATTTAAAAATGCGAAAGTGTAATTGAGAAAGATTATACATGGTTGACAATCACGTCTAATCATAAAACTGCCCAGTTGGAAAAATAAAATAAAAACCGCCAATATAAAAAAAGTCCGCTAACTAAAACGCGTTACGTTAATGTGTGACATAATAATTCTTTGAGATATCATAAAAAACCATAATCCCGTTTTCAGAATATTGAAAGTGTTTAATGATATTTCAGCTATGCATCGTCAGGGTAAGTTCCGATAAGTTTACACATTAACTAATTTTAACTGTTTTTACTCGTAAAACAGAATTCGCTATCTAATAAAGAACCTCTAAGTTTATTCTTCAGAGTTGATCTTTCATCTCGTAATTATTTACTTGATGTTGTATGTATGTAATATTTAGATACTGTAAAGTATAGGCATTGCAACATAAAGCGGTGAATAGTTTAATTAAAATTAAAGCGCATCGAGTCGAATATGGTTGGTTAGTTTGCGGCTTCGCAGAATTCGGCGTTGTCGTAACGGAAATTTGAGAAATATCTAATACCATTCAAAGGGTTATCAAAATGTCTTGTAAAGAAAAGGCTCGTCTCTTGTTTATTCATTGTGTATATAGATAGTCGTGTCTGCAAACATCTTCGTTAGGCGGATGCAGAGTCACATACGTATCAGTGAAACGACAACAGTCTGGTTTGTTTCGATGGCGTTACTAAATATATTCTATTGGATCCTTTAATAATAAAATAATAGCACTATATAAGTATAATTATGATTATAATAGATGTGATTGCTAATCACATATCTGAACACACGCAATTCAGATGCGAGTGATTTGCGTTAAAACATATTTTTTTGTAATACTGTTTTTTTAATAGCTCCGTACTGGGGAAACCCCAGTCGCAGGTGCCATGGACATATACATAGACAGCCACAAATATACGAGAAAAATAATTCTAGACTATACAAATATTTCTCCTAGTGGCTGTTGAGCATGGTAACCGACACCACAGAGAGATAAAAATAAAAATAACGCTCACACCTAACATTGCCCCGCTCTAGCTAAACCGTGTGTCGCGGGTGACATAGACACACACATAAACAACCACAAATTACACCCAAGCTCACGAGAGAAATAAATGTAGGCCATACAAATATTTCTCCCGGCTCGGGAATCGAACCTGGAACCTCTGCGTGGCAGTCGGTGTTGGTAACCTTTCAGCTGCGGAGGCAGTTGTAGCTAGCCTATATAGTCCTAATAGTAATAGTTAACCTATATAGTCTCAGTGCTGGAAACAAGCTACCTCTCTCAATGTGAAGGCTTTGGTTGTAGTTCCCAAGCGGGCCCAATACGAATTGGGAACTTCACACACAATGTAGAGCTCCTTGTGAAAGAGTTCGTCCAGGGAAGTACTGCCACCTTACCTATTTCTGCCATGCTACAATGTTAGCTTTACTGCGTTCCGGTTTTGGTGGAGAAATTACAGGCACACGGGACTTGTCAACTGGTGTCTCAGGGTGGCGGGCGCAGTGGCAGTTCCCCTCAGGTCGTTGCGATTTAAAGCTCTGAGTGGCGCTGCAACTGTTGTGGACAGGCGTGTAGCTTCCCATCGGGCGAACAACTTGTTCGTTCCGTCACTTAATATTACAATAAATAAAATATAAACCAGCACAGAGTACTAAAAAAACCGACCTCAAAAGTACGTGGAATTACATATAATTACCCAGTTTATTGAAATCGGTTACCGGAAAGTGCGCAAACCCGGATTCATTCCCTAGTTCGCCACTATACGGGACTTGACACAGGAGATAACAAAAATCGATTCTCACTACTCGAAGTATATTGAGAGAGAAAAACGCCTTGAATTGGAGAATAGCAAGATCAACCATTAAAATGATTGCTCCTTATAATAAAATTTAGTCGTTATTTATAAAAATGCATCCTCATGCGTGAGCAGCCACCCTTTGAGTTGGATGATTTTCTTCAAAATTAAATGGAACGACTATGGAGGTACCCTCCTTTCAACAAAAAAAAAACATGAAAATCGGTTCCCAAATATCGGAGTTATCGCGTAACATACATGCAAAAAAAACCATACAGTCGAATTGAGAACCTCCTCCTTTTTTGAAGTCGTTTAAAAAAAAATTAATTGCTTTGCAGCAGGGATGCGTGCAGGTTTCTTTACGATGTGTTCCTTCACTGAAAAGCTCAAGCTAAATTTTAAATTAAATTACGCACATAAATTTCGAAAACACAGAGTACAAGTACCAGTACAAGCCTGGGCAAGCAATGAGGGGCGGTTAGCCAAACCATTAGGCTGCCATGGCCGAAAAAAAGTATATATACACGCTCTCCTTATATTGTTATGTCAAGACGTATTTATATAATAAGCTGAACAAAAATATAGCTTTTTACTTTTGGTTTGATTTTGTGCATTAATATTTAAAAAAATATTTTTAAAACACATATAGGGTCGAAACATAAAAACTATATTATCTTACCAAAAGCAATGTAGAGTGCAACGAACGATATACTTCATTCCTTACCTCTATAAATAACTTTGTCTACGACCGCTGCGAAATCTATGTTTTATGGCGGTCCACGCCTTCCTCTATTCAATAGTAACCTTTAATGGGTAATCGGATATCAGGTCCGTAATTAGTGAATAAACAGTCTCCAGAGTGCTGCCCGGAGCATTTTCTGACCCTCGTAATTAAGACAATTTTGTAGGAAGGCGCATTTAATTCAAAAGTTTCATATTCTACGATTGTATAATAAAATAATAATAATAATACGTTAATTCAAATATTACAATTACTCCGTTTTTCTGTAGTTTATTTAAGGCAAATCACAGGGGGAGAAGCGGGATAAATTGTTTTGCTAGATAAAATTGTTTGGGTATTCACTATTAAATAATGGTCTTACAAAAAATACACGATATACCTAAGAATATTGTTTAAAGAATGAGCTAATTTGTTAAGTAATAGGATGTACTTCACTCGATCATACAAAATCCTGAAAACAGGCTAAAGTAAAAGTCTATAACGAATTATTTAAGAATGAAATATGTAACTTTGCACATATATTTTATATGAAGATATTTCTTTTTAAATACTACAGAGAACCTGCAAAATTTTGGTTTTCAACCGAAGCATTATTGTTATTAAATTCACGTTTATCCCAAAATTTGAAAATTGCCCAGCGGTTTAACGATACGCTACGCCGCCCGTTGCCCCGTCAGGCGCCATCGGGCGCTTGTCGGCGACGGATCTGTGTCCAATTTTTTCCGCCTGTTCCTATTTTATTAATATTAATTGGGATGTTCCCCCACACCTCACCTAAAATGTTGGCTCGCGTTTAAATATCTCGCCTTAAATAGGTTTTAATAATGTCAATGGCCCAGCTGTTAGCACCGTGGACATTAAAGAAAGAACTGCCGGGTTCAATTCCCAATAGTGCGATTCTGGAAACGAACTATTATAAATTGGTCGTGTAGGACTAGCACGACAGGGCGCGGTTTGCGCGAGAGCGACATATATTACTACTCTCTATGCTAGAATGGCAGTTTCTCGCGCTTTATGTCGCTCTCGCGCAAGTCGCACCGTATCGTGGTAGCCGTACTGGGGTGTTCTAGATAGTGCCGGTGCCACGGAATCAATTTCTCTGCTCACAATACAGAGAATTTCCTAGTTTGAGAACAAATAATTGGAGTGGTTGTCTGGAGTAATTATAATGGACTATAACAACATAGCTTAATAAGAAAAGTAGTGCACCTCCTGCTTGTTCAGCGCGTTAATGCCTGCTACATGTCGTTCGGAACGTAGGGTTGTCACGTTATTGTTTTAGTTGTACCTACAGGTTATAAAACATAATTTGAAAAAATTAAGGTATTCATCATAGTATTCTCGTGCTATATTGAAATAACCTTTGTCAAATGCAGTACTTATATATTAATATTTTCATACTAGCATCGCGGATAAGTGCTAACACTATATTAACTTCACAATGTTTTTGCTTTTGATGCACAGCAACGCGAAGGTGATGGCTTGATGGCTGAAAATCAGTGCTTTGCTTTTGGGCATATTTTGCACAGAGCCCAGACTTATTTGGCTTGCTGCAGCACACACAAGCTTTTTTTAATATCAAGTGACGGGTCGAATAAGTCGTGCGCCCGATGGTAAGCTGCACGGCTGTCCATAACAGCTACAGTGCCACTCTGAGACACTGCCACTGCGTCTGTCATCCTGAGACACAAGTTGACAAGTCCCCATGTGCCTGTAATTTCACCGGAACCCTTACCCTTCAAAACCTGAACTCAGCTGACATTACTGCTTGGTGGCAGAAATATGTAAGGTGGCAATACTTCCCTGGACGAACTCTTTCACAAGGAGCTCTACAGCAGTTGATCATTAGGTTAGTATTTTGTTTTTATGTATTTTCTTAAATGTTTATTTCTGTATTTATCTTTTAATCCATTTACTGTATTATATTATTGTGTGTGAGATGTAAGACAATAAAAGTTTTATCTAACTATCTATCTAGTGTCTCGATTATGGAACCTGATGATTCATTTATAAATCAAACAATTATAAATTTGACAAAGAAAATTATTTTAAACACTCTGGGCGAACGCTTCAATTCTATGATTAATGGCGCGTGGAACCCGCGCTGTGCAACTCGAATGCATTGCGTGATTATGCGAATGTGTGCATACGCACACGGTGTGTGTCAAGCGTTCACATACAAGCTTCGCTGCTATGTCTGTATACAGTTACAGTACGGGTTTTATAATACTATGATAACAATCTTGCTTTTTCAGGGAACACCGTGGGCTATATAAGGGTTGATATTGGCTTGCAAATTCTATTTAGGGTATTACAATAAATACACGTAAATAATGAAATATATTTATTAATAATTATTCGGGCATAAGTTCATCATAAGATACCTGCTCCAGAAGCACAGCTAAGTTCTTAACGACAGCGGTACTAAGGGACTTGCAGATAGAAGGACCGACGTCTGCTACGATCTCGCGCCAGAAGTCGTTTAGAATTTTGTTTACTTGGTCACCTGGAAAAGGCGAACAATTTGTTGTAAGTTCTTGTTGTGGCAGTTGTAGGCAGGACATTTTTGTCGGAGAACTGTTAGTAGAAAGTAATTACTATAAACAGACAAACGTGTCCAAGAGTAACTGGATGAGGAAGGCACAATCAAGTGCTATTACGAAACTTGGAAGATATGTACATTCAACAGTGAACGGTGCTTTTGATAATCATCCAGATGATGAAAATCTATTATACCCTATGTCAGTGGACGGCAAATAGTACTTCGTGAGCCACGTGCGGCTCTTTGACTGCTTGAATATCATGACACCGATGAAGTGTACAACGCAAATATGGTTGGGATTGCTGGACGGGATCAATTTCAGCGATCATACCTCAATTAAACTGAGGAAACTTTTAACAAAAGCCTGCTTAGAACTACCCTAATTCATTTAATAACAATGTGTATACTTATATAAACGAATCAAATTTCAATCTCTGAAGTGTTAATACTTTGCTCAGTTAACTAATAAATTATACAAGACAAGTGTGGATGGAAGAGTTGGGAGGAGTCAATCTCAGCGAACGTACCTCAATCAGACTGAGGACGTTTTTAGCAAAAGTCAGCTTAGAAGTATCCTAATTAATTTAATATAAATGTGTACATATAAACAAATAAAATTTCAATCGCAGTTCTGTTGACATTTGGCTTAGTTGACTAATGAGTTTACCGACCACAGCCCTAAGTAGTAAGCATGAAAAGATAACTGCTAAAGGATATTAATTAAAAGTTGCCAGAATTAAACAAAAGTCAAAATATAAACATCATTAGCACGAGTGTCATAAATAATATTAGCTGCTCTCGAAACATTTATTATTCTATTGCTGAATAAACTAAATGATTCTCGAAAATTTGGACTAGTTTGTGTATAAGAGAATAGTTTAGCGAGCGCGATCCAAACAAATTAAATTTAAACCTTAGGGATACTAAGTAATCAAATTTAATAACATTATGTAGATACAATCCAGAAATGAATATTATAGGGCCGTGAAACCACGTTTTGAAGTTACATTATTTAGTTTCAAAACTACACGTTCAAAAACTCATAACATTGGATCAATGAAAGCCAAGCTTCATGTTAAACTTTCAAAACAATTAAACTATTTGCATAAATATTAAAACATACTATATTAAAACTTTTTTTACTAATTCACTTTAACATGTGAATGAGCCTCTAAGTACTAAAATATAAAAATTACGTCTTATAATTTCTGATAAGAGCTGTGCATACACCCGCGTTCGCGTCATGGCAGGTAAAGAAAGCAACAGTATAATCCTGTGGCCTGGCAAAACTATCCACTTAAAGTCGTAAACAAATTTCTACAAGAACCTTTAAGCAGTCTTACAAAGGTCTGTTAAAAAGCTTGCAAAACATGCCAAACCCAGAACTTTGGAACAGATTTACATATTGTATGCACGACCACAAATCATGCATATACATGCGACGTATCGATTATCCCCTTATTATTACCGAACCACAGTTGAAAAGGCGCTAAATGCCAAATGTACATTGTACACATTAAAATGGACTAAATATAATGACGAAATACTTTCATAGATTACTTATAGATGGCGCTACGGTTATAAGTCGTTGAAAAACCAAATACAAAGATACGACAACAAGCACATACAAAAGCTTGTGAGGTCCGCTAGTTCGTTCCGTGGCTTGGTTGGCATAGCGTCTGGCACAGTTTGCTAGAAGACGTCGATTCGAATCCTGTCAGATCGTAGGTTTTTTTTTAAATGCGAACATTTCTTCATCTATGTATTAATAATTGTAACAAACTAGTGGAGTAATTTCACAAAAAAATAATTGAATATCAATTCAATAAAAATTTAAAAATATAGTGACATGATTCAGACCAAAGCAATTGTGCTCCCAATTTTGCGTGAAAAACGCCACTGGGCAAGTATTTTTGGTCATATAGAATATATAGCTAAATTTAAATGGTGTATTAGTATCGTAGTATTAGTAACGTGCAATTCAGTACGCGTTCGGAAACGTATATTAGGCCGTTGCGTGTAAGTGGAAATGGGTTCCCAATAACTCATAGCCAATGAGCTTTTAGCGTTTATCCAACACGCCATCGATACCGTGGACGAGGTCAGCATTGTGCAGATCTGCAAATCCAACTTCAACGAGGATGAGATTTGCAGTGGCAAGATGCTGCTGTTCCAGAGCCTCATAAAGCTGAGAAGATGCCATCTCGCTGGAGGGACGGAGGCGTGAAGAGTTTCCAGGATATTATCACACTCCTGAAGGAGACTGACCCGGACGACGTGCCTACATTTGTGGCGAAGAGGTTGCACAAGCTACCTCCAGTCACGTTCAACCACGTCGATGTCACCAGGCTGCTGAAGGATATTACTTATTTTTAGATTTAGATTTTTAGATTATTATTAGTATGTAGGTCACAAGAAATCTCTAATATTAAAACGCGACGTGGAGCGCAAAATGCATCCATCAGCAGTGTTGAGTCGCCACAAGTGGTTGCGTCGCGCGTGATGCACCGTGCCCTGCTGCCCGCACCTCCGTTCCGGCGGAAACCTCTTGCGTGTACATGTCAGCCCCTGCGCGTGTATACGCCGCTGTAGCCGCTTGTACCAGCCCCTTGCCACTTCGAAACTCGAGCGGCAGCAATCGGCTCAGAGCAAAAACAACTCCCGTGAACCTGTCTCTGAAGTTACGAAACCACAGAGGCAGACGGGCCGGTGCGTTGAGGACGGCTTCACAAAGGTGGTGAACAGGAAGAGGAAGCCCACCAGCCGTAACCAGTGTGGCACAGCACCGACAGAACCGAACTTCCTGCTGCGTCTGGCGATGACACGGCTGTCACGACTGCATTACTCCACGAAGTCTGAGGAGATAGTGGAGTACATCAGCTATAAAGCCAAATACACCCTGAGGGTCGAGCAGTTGAAGTCCCACCACAACGTAAATTTTAATTCGTTTGTAATGAGAGTGCCGATCGAACATCTATCGACCTTCATGAAGGAAGAGTTTTGGCCGAAGGGTGTGATGTATCGGCGATTCCGCGGCCGGTTACCTGACACCAGATTGCGCCACTCGTCGCCGACAAGTGCAATTCGTGTAGATTAGTTAGAATAGTGTATTATTATATTGTATGTATGTTATTCCTAAAGGTATATATTATATGATTGTTTTATTGTATTATTATGTTCGTCTATAATATAAGGTATGTATCTTTGTAACCTGAATACAAATAAATAAATAAATAAAATGCACTGGACATTTATGTGGTCATATGAATATTATTGGCTGGGTCTGAATAAGTTCACATATTATGTACATTTTGATGTACACTGAGTCTTAGGAGATTACTACATCATTGTGTCATATCCTGAATAAATTACATATGAATAAATTACATTGCAGAAATAATGTTGTTACTATATGACTACTGGACTGGACACATAATTTTTTTCTTTTTGTATTGCTCAATGTCAATGTATTTTTGTCTGTGGTTTGCTCGGTTGTTTCTCTATCTTCAAATATAATCTTAAATTCATGGCTTAATTTTTTTTACTGTGAGCTTGGTTGGGGAAAACGCATTATCAAAAATAACATAAATTATTTTCAGGTCACAAAATACGTTATGCAGTTTTGATCCAAACTTAATGAAAGCAAATGGTTCTAAAATTCTACTTAATTTCAACATTTATATTACATACAACATACATATTCTTATGCAGTTACTACTATGAATAATGATATGTAAAATAGTGTTTCTTATGACTATTAAGTTAAATAAAAATATGTAATTAAATTAATATAACATTGAAATGAATATATAATTTCATTATCTCATTATAAATAGTTCAGCTGACTCTAAAAAAAAAGGATACGCGAGGTCCGCCATATTGGTCTGAGTACAATATGATGTTATAACAGAGAAAAAAAAACTATAAGAAATAATAGAAGTCATTTGTTTTTTCACTTATCTTAAAATATACGGGTTGATAAACGACAGTATTTTAAATCGTTCTATCTTTCGTTATCCATTTATTTTATCTGAAAATGAGTCCATCGATAGTAATAGTAATAACTATAATGTTTAACGTACTCGCGGGTTGAACGCCAAAAAGATTTGTTGAATATTTTCACTTTAAATTGACCTCTACGAAAACCATATATTAGCAGAAAATGGACACTCCTAGCAACCCAAATAAAGCAAACTGTAACTGTCGAAGGACACATTTTTACAATTTTTTTACTTTGCATTACATGCATTTTTTATGATACCGAGTGACGGGATGAACAAGTCGTCCACCTGGTGGTAAGCGACGCACCTTTAGTAGCGGTACAGCACCAGTGAAAATGTTCGTCTGAGGAATTACTGGTACTATACTACTGGTACTATTTCTGCCGCCAAGCAGCAATGTGTCCATTACTGTGATGCAGTTTTTAAGAGTAAGGATGGAGAAACTACATGCACGTGAGGCTTGTCAACTTTATGTCTCAGAGTGAGGCGGAGTACCCCTCAGATTTTTGAAAATAAAACTTGGAGACACCTACCCATAATAATTGCAGTGACATGCAATTGTTATGGGTAGGTGTGTCGCTCTTATCACCAGGCCCACGTCTTGTGTGTCCCGTCACTTACTATAATTTTTTTGACGATCTCGGTGGTTTAACGGTTTGCATCGTAGGCGCTAAACGAGGCAGTTCCAATTTCGATTCCCCGTAGGATGAATTTGGAAAACACTTGAACTTTTCTTAATTGGTTCTTGGTTGTGTCACAGAGTAAATTAATTTTTAAGCAAGGAAGCCACATGGAATACATGAACTATAGGCCCATAGCAATCTTATCAGTTATAGACAAAATTGTTGAAAAAATTATAGTGAAACAAATTAGTAGTTTTTTAGAACGTTACAATATAATTTCCAGTTCACAACACGGATTTAGAAAATATAGAAGTACTAGCACAGTACTGATACAATTTTCAGATTTCATCAATGAAAACCTCGATTGTTGTTTTAAACAAGTGGTTGCATTGTTCATTAACTATAGAAAAGCCTTCAACACCTTCGACACCTTAGACTATGAAGTGTTACTGAAATCAATGTCGGAGTATAATATAAGAGGTCCCATCAACACATGTTTCAGAAATTATTTATTCAACAGAACATAGCGCGTCTCATACACAAGAACATAGCGAGGACGCCAAGGTCACGCTGGGCGTTCCGAATGGATCTGTATTTGGTCAGATAAGGTACATTATGAATGTTAATAGCGTAATAAATGATATATCAATAGTTGGATACAAAGTACTTACATAAGAATAAAATTGGATGTACTTGTGATAGTTTAGAATACGTTGATATCTTTAAATATCTATTAATTGGAAGATGCATGTTAGTGAAGTTTCTATGAAATTAAACAGAAACTTGGAAGGGTTTTCATTTAAGTAATATATTAGCTAAAAAATATTATATGAGATGCACCATGCCCTGGCAGAGTCGCTTATCAGCTAGGGATTAAATGTATATGGTCGGACCTTTGCTAGTTATCTAAAAGAAATGAGAAAGTTACAAATTAGGCTGATAATACATTTAGTATGCAAAAAAGTGAAACAAAAATGCAATTGCATAGAATACAATGACTTATTTAGTCACTGTAAGGTCATCCCAATAGAAATTAAGAATAGATATTTGAAAGTGTTGGAAAATTACTATAATGATAATTACAAAGTTAGGCTTAAGAATAGGTACACGACAAAAACAATAAGCTAGGGTAAGTTTAAAGCAAATATTTATTATAGAAAAAGATGTACACTTTATTTAGTTCCAAAAATATATAACGACATTGATTGGCATTAGCCAACCAATATCGTGACTGGCACATTATATAATTAAATTATCATAAAAAAACAAACAACGATATTTTATATGTAAAAAGTTTGTTATTTAGCCAATATACGGCCTTAATTCCTGTCCTTGGGATTTACCAATAACTTATCGAATATTTGTAGAGTGATCTACAGCCAATTAATCAGATTTACAAGCAACAAACATGGTATTTGCGCAAAACGTGAACTTTCAAGCTCATAAATTCCCCAGTTTTATTGTTATCCGCTTTCAAAACGCTCCCGGCGCTACAATACATCATAAGTAACTTTTAGGAGTCAGTAACACATGTTTATATAAAATCAAATCATAGAACTTTTTTGTCTATCATATTTATTTAATCGGTAGTGATGGACAGACTTGTACCTAGTACTGAAAATGATATCATGATTAACGTAAATACTTCTCGTAAGATATGTACAACATACTTTTTTTATATAACTACAATTTAATCGATCAGGATAAATTGTTCACATAGTTGATAATAAACAGTACTTCATTTGCCGCTTATTTAAATAAAAAAATGCTAACGAATTATTTTCAGCATAGATAGACCTTAATTTAGCAAGCATCGTAACTAGTAAGTGGTTATGTTCTTTACTGTATATAAAATAGTCTTTATTACAGTACACTATTTACAGAATGTGCTGAACCCTACAAGTACATTACACACTTATTCCCAGTTTATCATTTTTAGGCTACGCGATATTTATTTATTCGCATAAAATAAAATGTCCAGGTTTTCGTCTCGATCCTTTGTTGACTTGTTTAGTTCCTATCTTTTATATTTTATTTTTCACTTTGAAAACATCAGACCATATTCAAATCATGCAGATGACCAATTTGACCTTTTTTTGTAAAACGCATTTTGTTGACTTATTTACATTAATGGATAACGCTAGGTTTTTGTTCTAATCGATTGATTTTGTCTTATTGTTCGATTGTGACTTAGGACCGTAGGGTACCCAAATAAATTAAAAAATGCGTAAAAGAGTTGATGGAATTTTTTTTAGTGTTAAAATGACAATATTTACAGTAAATTGTTTATAATCTCAGTACAGAATTCTAAAAAAACCGACCTCGAAAATCATTCATTCCCAAGTTTGCAACCCTTAGAAGTGGAATATTTAAAAGTGGAACATGCATACAAAAAAGCATACTGTTAAATTGAGAACCATCTCCTTTTTTTGAAGTCGATTAAAAATAGATGATTATTTTTATAATGCAGTCTCTGTTTGGCATTGCTAAATTATTAGAACCGTTGATAATAAAGTCAAACTCAAAATACCGTTACAATATACCGTTTATGATATACAAAAACTGTAATAACCATTTCATAGGTAAGTAAATTACACTTGATATCATCATATTGATTAAACTTTACTCAGAGAAAAATGTGTAAGAAACTATAGAGGTAGCTCTTTGTAAATAAGAATTTTCACACATTTATCATTAACAATATTTACTTCAAATATTATAGGTAAAGAGCTAAACGGGTCATATGTGTGTACACATAATCATATTTCTGTATATATATTTTATTAATAAAGCGGAATTTCAAGCACAGGACATTTAAGACCTTGCAACTCACAACCTGCAATTCATTTCCAATTTTATGCTTACTTCTATAGAATTGCAAATATATATAGGTGTTTGTTTCTCTCTGTCTAACAGTAGTCTATAATACCTATATAATTTTCTTTATGAAGTTCACTTAAACTTACCAATAGTTTTGTCGTTAAGTAAATTTTCAAGTCTGAAGGTGGCTCTCTCTACATCGTACTTGATGTCATGTTTGGTGATGTTCCAGTGCACTTTCCCATCGGGACCATTTATATGTTCATACCAAAATCGAATATGGAGTTCAGTGTTTTCTAAAATATAGAATTTTTTTAAATTTAATAATATTCAGAGTGTAAGTTGTAATGGCGCAAATGAATACAACAAAATCAACTCTTTATTACACAGAAGAAAATAAACAAAAAAAAAGGAAAGACAGGAGACAATACAATTGGCAACCTTATTACTAGATAGCAATATCTCCCAGACAAGCTCTCGGTGACAGGATAAAGGTAAAAATATTAATTAACTGATGGCGCTATAAATGTCCTCTAAATACATATTTAATATGTATTTTTTATGCAAATAAAGAGGCAAACGAGCAGACGAGCCACTTGATGGGAGGTAGTCATCGTCGCCCATGGACATTTGCAACATCAGATGAGTTACGTATGCATTGCCAGCTTTAGAGAGCCTTGTAAACACGCGTTTCGAAGAACCCTATGTCATAGCGCAAAGGAAATACTTCAGGAAAAGGATTATTCCACATCTTGCAAGTTCGAGGAAGAAACGAACGAGATGCCCGCGCGGTTTTGCAATGCCAAGCATCCAAGATGTGGGGATGGACTCTACTCTTTTGGCGAGAAGTGCGATGGTAGAAACGAGATGGTGGCACCAGTTCGAAAAGTTCTTTAGAGCATTCCCTATTATAAAGACGGTAGAACACACACAGAGAGCCAACGTCTCTCCGTAGGCTAAAGGACGACTTTGGGATCGTCGACAATACTAACAGCCCTACGTTGGATGGAGTTAAATGGGTCAAGCTGGTATTTGGGAGCTCCTTTTTTTCCTGCCCAGAGATGTGAGCAATTCTTAAACTACTTGTGTTTTATATTACAAGTCTAAAAATAATCTAAAAAAAGGAAAAAGGTAAAAAAAATACTCTAAAAATAGTAAAAATTTTATACACACACAAATAAAATGACATGGCATGACATGTAGGTCCCCCTTGAGAATTTAACTTGCGTATAAGACAAGTGTTCTACTATTTAGTATATCAGTACTTCAAGACATAACGTGATTAACTATGTATGGAATATCATTTTGTGTTTAGTTCTTTTTGTTTTTCTCCGTCTAAAAACTACTATTGTTTTTGATGAATGTTATTACACACATTTCTTATACGGGTGTCCGGTAAAGAATGAATACGCCAGAAATGCCTTATGGTAGAGCTTACGACTGTTAAAAAAAATATAAAGAAAAATATATCCCAAGTAGTACGTAAGATATTTTTTGTTTCTTTAAATTAAATTAATTTCACCTTATTTTACGTTTTAGTACACCACGACTATAAGTGAATCAATTCCTTTGGTTTTTGGTGTCATAATATTCTACATTAACTGTGCTAATAATATATCTAACAATTGCACTTTATTGTATATTCTGTCCATCGTGAGTTAATTTCAAAGTATATTCTAGAAAATCTGTTATTGGCCCTATATAGACTTCTTTATCAACCCATATACGTCCCACTGGTCACAGGTCTCCTCTCAGGTGAGGATTTAGGCCATAGCCCGCCACGTTGGCCCAATATGGGTTGGGGACTTCATACGGTTTCCGAGAATTGTGAACCTTCTTCGACGTGCAGCTTTTATCACGATATTTTCCTTCACTGAAAAGCGAATGGTAATTTAAATTCAATTTCGCTTACAATTTCAGAAAAACTCAGAGATCCGAACCCGGAGCAAACGCAAGGCCTCTGCTTGAGAGTTGGTAGGTCTAACCATTAGGCTACCACGGCTTTTAAAAAATACACTTCTTTTTTATATTATAGGCCTTTATAGTATTATCCAAAATAATATTATAAATACGAAAGTAACTCTATTTGTTACGTTTTCACGCCGAAACCGCTGAACCATACTTGATTAATTTTGATATAAAAAGAATCTAGAAGAAGGACATATACATACTTTTTGTCACAAAATAAATAAAGGACGTGAAATAGAGGAAAAGATTGTATGGAAAACCAATCATTTCTTAAGTAAGTCGTGTAGTAGGCTAATCTATGTTTTTATTCCAAGCAGACGAAGAGTAGTAGATTACGTATATTTTAATTGCAATAGGCTTTTGATTTTCATTAATAAATAAATAGTACAGGGGCGTTGCCATGAACTCTTATTACGATTCAGTTTAGGACCTAAAAGGAATCGTTGCGAGACAGCGCTACATTAAGTGTTTATCACCATCTCGAATTTTTGGCATTACGAACCTATACTGAATATATAAGAGTTCTCCATGAATGGGACAAGTTTGAAAACATTGAATCCGATATATTCATTTCGTGAAATATAACAAAATTCCCATAGTAAGCGTCACAAAAATGCAATAGATATATGACTCACTCAATATAATGCTTGCATCTCCGCTCGATTTCACAGGAAGAAGCAAAATTTTTCCACTCAAGTCGTATTTGCTTTTCACGTTCAAGTTAACGAGAGCATCGGCCGATATTAATTTCTTGCTTAGGTCAAATCTATAACAAAAGTGGTTTATAGTTATAGCGGCATATTATTTTGATTATGAAACATGGATAGGTAAACTCGCGGGCACATTTAGCAAAACAAAAAAATTAATGATATTAAGGAATTAACGTTTATGTTTAAACAAATAAGAATTAGACAGAAATTGACAATTAAACTAATATCAACTTGGTACATACAAGCCTTACCATGCTTTTATTGAAAAAAATCGAAATTAAACAAAATGTATTTTTTTTAATTTTGTGACAAAGCAGAAAAATTTAACAGCTTAAAATTGTTTAAATGGAAGTTAAATAAATTAAAAAAAATGTACACGAAATCCACCTCTACCCAGTTGACAAACCTACGTGAGCTAGAATTTAAAGGAATTATAATGAAAAAAATTACAAACGGGACTTTTTTTCGTTTTCAAATTATACCTAAAATAAAAAATAAATAAATAACCCTCCTATCTTTTTTTAACGCACACACTCATAACCCCGCAATAGGGAAACTCTGTATCGCGAGTGCAAAGTACACCCAAATTCGCGAGAAAAATAAATGTAGGCCATACAAATGTTTTTCTGGAATCGAACCCAGGACCTCTGCGTGACAGACCAGCATGATTTGAAAAAAAAATTGCCTTATTTTGGGGCTATTATTGTTGAAAGAATTTAAAATGTTCGCTCTTTGTGAGTCAGGACACTGTTTAAGCTATCTGAAGTACGTAGAAATACATTTTATTTACAGCTAAATAACCAGACATTCAAAAATTAAATAAGGCTTTACTACTAATTACTAAAATTATTTTTACTCCTTCTATTAATTCTTCCATTATGACACTTCTAGTTGTCTCAAAAAATTTTCTTAGTATTTACGCGATTTCTCGTTAAATTCGGGCAGATCACCGAGAGGTTGTTCGCTCCATTACTCCTTTTGTGCTCGATGAATCATCTGCGCCTAATTATTTGGGCCGCTTCGGGCCTAATTATTTGGGCCGCTTTAAGTTAGCGCCATAATATTGTTCGCAATTAAAAGGCCCGAAGCTAATTGTCCGTGACTCATGACGTCGTCGTTAGTCGGGAACATAGTTCATTATAGATTCAAGTACCATTTGCAAAATAATTTTAAATGAAATAAAGCAAATACGTACACACTAGGAGAATAAATGTACATTACAGACTTTTATACATAAACTTGAATAAGTGTATTTATTGTTCTTCCAAAGCAATTGGCCGACTTCCCAAATTTTTAGACATTCTATTCTTTGTTCTGTTTACTTCTTAGGTTACTATACAAAACAGAATTTAAAAACATAAATAATCGTCTTTTGCTCGTATATCCTATCTTTTAATTCAGTAACATCACCGATACGTATTTCTTTGTTGAACGTGAAAGTTATGTCAAAATTCTTATATGCCTTCGTAAAGTTAATATTCCAACCTTCCCTAATTTAATATTCTCAATTGACTCATGAAATTGTACGTACGATGATATTAAAAGGGTGCGAGGCCGTTGCTAATTACTCAAACTACCCGTAAACATCCTTTGATATTGAACACGAACAAAATTTGGGTTTTGGTGTAGAGTAAATGAACTCTTTCAATAACCAAGCTAACAATGAGAAATATTTAAAAAAAAAATTTCTAACATTTTAGATTTAATTTGGGTGCATATTTAACAATTGCGGAAACCTAAGAATTCGATTTAAAAATAGCTTCATAAAACCAATTCTACAGGCAATAACATATTAGTTCAAATCTTAAATTTCGACGTAAAGTAATTAAAGGCAAATTTCAAGTTTCTGGGAAAAACATTCATGTGCAAAAATTTTCGCACGAAAATGTGCATAATCGAAGAAAAAATAAGAAGCACTGCTGTGCTTCGATAACAAATCTACATTCTGTCTAGTCATTCTAACATCCAATAAATACTCGCAATGTATAATGTAATTAAAGAAAACAACAATTGTGTAGTTTATTTGTTCTGTTATGTTTACTATTTGTGGTTATCATAAGGCTTCATTAAGAAATGTTATTTAAATAGTTATTTAATGTCTTATCTTTATATATCCAAATGCCCTTAGCATTTGAATTTACTTTAAAATGCCTTTTTTATTGCATTAATATAGGCAAACTGTATTTTATAATTTGCATAGTAACGGTGTAAGTATATTAGGGACCTAATTAAAATTATTTAAAGATATTATACAGTATTTGTCAACAATATTTGAATTTCATTTAATAATAAATAAGAAAGCTTCGTTTGACTGAAAGTAAAACTTAATTCTTTTTTTTTTATAACATCAAGTGACGGGACGAACTAGTCGTGCACCTGATGATAAGCTACACGCCTGTCCATAACAGTTATCGTGCCACTCAGAGCTTTCAATTGCAATGATCTGAGGGACACTGCACTGCGGCCGTCACCCTGGGACATAAGTTGACAAGTCCCAAAACTGCTTTACCAAATGGTAAAGAATTTTTCAACAAGAACTTTGTTTTGCATATCGAAATAAGAGAATAACTTAGACGACAATGATAAAAAATTAAAAATTTGATAAATAAAGATTTTATTGTATTAAAAAAAGGTTTGGTCATTATGAATGAAAAATGATATCTGATAAATGTCTTCTACTACCACAGTTACAGAAGTTGATTCTTTCGTTTTTAATCACTTTTTGACAAAAATGGAGGGTCTATTTCGTTAATCACTTCACGAATTTTGTGTTTTAAGGCTGCAATCGATTCGATTAGCTCCGTATAGACTTTGCCTGTGCCTTTGCCGTAATATAGAATTGCTAACATAACCCCATAAAGAATAATCTAGCGGTGTTAAATCAAAAGATCGAGCTGGCCATTACCGACTGAATTTCGTGAAATTATGCGATCGAGAAATTTGATTTGCAATAAATTCATTGTTTCGGTGGTTGTGTGACAAATATAACAAATATTTTAGCGAAAGTGAGTTGTTAACATTATCTGTGTTCGAAACGAGATCTACAACCCCGTCTAATCACTATTTTTTAATGTCTTACTTAGTTTCTGTGTTTTTGTTACTCAAAATTATAGTAATTATCACTTTTATTAGCAAAAACAAACTTTAGGTGCCAATATCTCAAAAATTACCGAAATGCAATTGCGTTAGTTATGACAAGAAGTGCAGCCAAGTGTGTAGGAAACGTACAACGTCACAAATGCATTTCCATGTGTAAATTAAGCTATCAATATACGAGTATATGTACTTACTTTAAATTCTTCATTTCCAAAGCAGAAAGTCCAGAAAAAATATTGTCCTTATAAACCAACTTCAGACCATTTTCATTTGGTACAAACACCGTCATCACTTCAACGTATAAAGGATCTAAAGCAGGGAGACCCCTGCTTGTGTCTCCTAAGGAAAATTGATGGAGAGATTCTTTGGCTGACTTTAGTGCGCATTCGTTGAGGTTTGGGTCATTTCTTGAACATGGTTTTATATAGACCGCTGTAAATTTTAATATTCATTATAACACAGTAATACAGCAATATCTCAGACCTTCTTAGTCAGGTCCTGACCCCAGATGAGCCCGTTTGCATGGACTTCATATGGTTTTCAAAAGACTCGTGTCTTGGGTGAGCTGCCCCGGTTGCGCGGACAGCACCCTCCTATTTTCCAGATAGGTAGCGGAGTGGACTAGGCACGCTCGTGCTGATACTAGTAGCAGTATTGCTCCTTGTAATAGTAGCAATAAAGATCCTTATGAAGGAGTTCGTCCAGGGAAATACTCCCACCTTACCTATTTCTGCCGCCAAGCAGTAATGTAAGCATTACTGCGTTCCGGTTTTGAAAGGTAAGACTTCTAGTGAAATTACAGATACATGATTGATTTTTTCAACAGCAATGACGGGATCAGTGGCAGTGCCTCTCAGATCTTTGCGATTTAACGCTCTGAGTGGCAATGGAAATGCTATGGACAGGCGTGTCGCTTAAAATCAGGAGCACTACCTGTTCGTCCCGTCAATTGGTATCAAAAAAAATTAAAAAAACTTTTTTGTAATTTTGTTGTAACATTTTTAGTATCTTTGATTGTTTCCGAAAATCTTATATACAAAAGGATTTATATTTCTGTATTTTATAGGTAAGTGTCTTTTCAAGGTAAAATAATACACTAGCATAATAATAACCAATTGAGGTATGTACAAATACATAAGTAAGCGCTCATGTTAAATTATAACCGTCGCGTAGTTAAAAATGCAGGTGGCATTTTATTGCACTGAAAATGAGATAAAAGATTTTTTCGTTTTAAATTCACACTGAATTTTTAATTTTACTCTTCGTTAAATGAGAATCTCAAATTCTCAGTTATTCGAAATTAATTACCTTCAATGTTTTGTTATATATTATACTGTTAGTTAAAAAATGTAAACTGTTTGTCTTCTGTATCAGCTTGTTAACCCGATGCGTGTTCTTAACATTTTTAGTACTTTTTATTTTTTAACCTACTTCAGAAAGGAGGAGCATTGCTTGTGTATCTACCGTGATTACTTCGACATTTGTGAACTGATTTCGATGATTCTTTTTTGTTGAAATAGCGGATGAATCCAGTTTGTTGAATTTCGCATTCTTTCCGTTATTGATTTCAAAAAACTTCGCACATAATAATTTCCAGTGAAAGTAAAATATTATGGTGACCTGGAGCTGATTGATGATGAAAATGGCAGACAGATGAGAGGAACTCTTCAATAGTGTACAGCAGCTACCTTGTATTTGAGCTCATATTATTAGTTTTGACGAGTACTTCCATATTAAGCGTTTCCATTATATAGTCAGGAGACCATAGTAACGAACACAACAGCAACTAACTTTTGAGGTCGGTTTTTTAAATAAAAACAATAATTATTTGTTGAGATTTTTTGTTATATGTTTTTGTTATAATATAGTACAAAGATCTATAACAAAAACACAGGAGAATTTCGACGACTCGGTAACTGGACCCGTGGCTCAGATGGTTAGAGCAATGCTACGATACAGGGCGTGGGTTCGAGTCCCACCAGGTCGACAAAATTTTTCCTTGTGTTCGATCTTCGTATTGATAATGAGTTATAATTATTTTATGTATTTTTATTGTTGATAAAAACACTGCTGTACGTTAGAGACACTTGTGGCTTTAGGACGCCACAGAAGCAAAATAGTTACGGACATCGTGTGCCTCTGAGAGATGTGACGAGTTAGTGTTCGTCCAGGTTAGTACTGCCACCTTATCTATTTCTGCCGCCAAGCAGTAATGTCAGCATTACTGTGTTCCAGTTTTGGAGGGTAAGGGTGCTGGTGAAATTACAGGCACGTGGAACTTGCCAATTTATGTCTTAGGGTGACGGGCGCAGTGGCAGTGCCCCTCAGATCTTGCAATTTGAAGCTCTGAGTGGCACTGTAGTTGTCATGGCCAGGCGTGTAGCTTACCATCATGCGCACTTCTTGTTCGTCCCGTCACTAGATATTATAAAAAAAAAATCCTATCCAAAACCGTAACAATGTATAACAATTTCATACTCACGTAACCCCATGGACATAACACCACTAAAAAGTATTATTTCAACTAAAAATACCGTCTGAAACATCATTTCTGTTTTATCTACTAACTGATCCTATAAGTCAACCAGTAAATGAGATATAGGGCTCGTTACCAGCTTTATAAAACAAACGTTAAATAATTATATGTTTTCCACACTTATTAGGGAGTGTCTCTGCATACGCCCTAATAGTGTAGGCACACGTGAATGTTACTGAAAGCACGTGGTTATACGATATTCATATGTAATTACACCGTTACTTGTTTAATTTCAAGTACATTGAATCTTACAATGTAAGTTCTGTAGTTAAGGATGTTACGAGACGTTAATGGAAATCATTCTAACGATTGAGCCTGAATTTTGAATGAAATGTAGTAACACGACGTCTTTTCTAGAATCATCAGCAAAATTAAAGACATTATTCAATTAAGATCCTAACTGCCTTGAATTATGGATGAAATTTAAATTACTTCGAGAATCGGATAAAATTTCGTGTGACGTAAATTAAATTTATAATTTTCTGCAGCTACGGCTAGGCATATGTTTTTTCATAAAGGTATGTAATATTTGTCATTGTATTACGATTCATCTGTGTAACATGTCGTTCATTTAGCAACTTTCCTTACGAATGAGAAATTTTTTACACTCATAGGCAATGAATGAATTTACAAAATTTGAATAACTTAAGTAATTTCGCGGAGATAGTTAAATTAATATACTTTGTTCAGAATTTATAAAGGATCATAAAACGACAATCGTAGTTATTATATTGTTAATTTTCAAAAAATACATATAAGTATAATATATTATACGTAAGTATATTTTTATTTTTGTTAAAATCTACAAATTATCTTCTGCACAAAAAAATTGTTGTAAATGTTGTAAAGAATTTATTTTTAACACATAAATTTTACTTTTTAAAATGCTTTTAGCTTTAATGAAAATGTTGGAAATGCTGTAAATTGAATCTCTGTTGTGTATTGTATGTTTTTAAAATTTTCTTTTTTTTGTTATTCTGACGAATTCTATTTCGTATATTATTATTATTAAATAGCTACACTCATCAAAAGTGTATTTTTTTAATATTTGGTTATCCTATAAATATTAAATTACAACATAAATATAAATTTATATAAAAAAAATAATTACGAAATTGACCCAAAAAATCATTGGTGTAATTGCAAAAACGCGCTTGATACCTAGATACTTTTGATGTGTGTGTATTGAATATATCCTGATCGCTGCACTAAAATCAAACAATGCAAGTTCGTCAAAAACGAAAAGTCAGTAATTATATTGCTCATTTTTATTGTAAGACACCGTATTACACGTGAAAATTTAAAATTGAAGAAAATTTAAAATGGCATCCCATTTGCAATTTTTGTTTAAAAGATTTTTCTCCTGAAAGGACGCTAATAAGACAAGTGATGTGAACAATTAATAGGCACTCCATTATGGAAATCGTTTAACACATTAAATTTCCAAGTTACTTCAAAACCTCAGATCACAATTCTGGTAAAGTTACCTTAATTTGAGTACTTTTATTATTGATAGTTTAAGTCTAAAACCTGAAAAAGTTAGATACTGTACATATCTCATTAAAATTCTGCATCTTAACTGCAGGTATTCTACAGATTTAAATTAAGATAACGTTTTTTGATGCAGTCTTTAAGTGTACGGGAGATTAGCAATTTATATTTATAACCTGTAATTATATATAATATAAAAATGTTATGAAACATATATATACTTGTTTCCAGTACCCAACTTAATCATAATTTAGAATCAGTAGAGATCATGATGATGATGAGCTCTTCGTTCTCTACTACTCTAGTGTTGCCACTACACTTCTGTTGCCAAGCAATAATGTGAACATTACTGCGTTCCGGTTTGGAAGCGATAGGGGCGCTAGTGAAACTACAAGCACAAGTATCACGGCCTCCGTGGTCGAGTGGCTTGCACACCGGTTTTCATGTTGTCCCCGTCTCTGAGGTCTCAGGATCGATCCCTGGCCGGATCAGTGTAGAAAACTAACTTTTCTATATTGTCTCGTGTCTGGGTATTTGTGGTACCGTCGTTGTTTCCGATTTCCATAACACAAGTGCTTTAGCTACTTACTTTGGAATCAGAGCAACGCATGTGATGTTGTCTAATATATATATTAGACAACATCATGCCATGCCGTGGGATTTGCCAACCTTACGTCAAGGTCGAGGTAAGACTGCCCCTTAGATATTCTTGTGATTAAAGGCTCTGAGCTGAAAGAACTGTTAAGAGTAAGCGTGTCGCATACCATACGATTATTATAAAAGAATAATAGATCTATTTTCAACGTCAACAAATAAAACGGTAATGCCGAGTTATTTCATGTTTGGAAAGTAAAATAGTAAAATAATAATAACGCACAAACTCAACACTGCCTCGCAGAAGGGAAACGCTGTGTTGCGGGTGCCATGGACGCACACATAGACGACACAAATTACACCCAAACTCACGATAGAAATAAATGTAATCCCTACAAACATTTCTCCCGACCCGGGAATCGAACCTGTGAGTAATCTGTCTGTAACTTAAAAAGGGAAATTGAAATAATATGTAAAATAATTAAGGCATTAATAGTAAACACTTTATTAAAAATAAACACTTCCAGGAATCAAGAAAAGCAAGGTTAATGAGAGATATGAAGATGGTAAAGGGTTCGTGGTTTCACATTACACCGTAATATGTCAAAGTGATATTTGATAATGTTAGAATTTATAATTATTATTACAAAGATCGAACACTTAGAAAAAAATCCTTCGATCCCCTTCGATGATTAGTGACATAGAGTCTAGAAGACGTGGGCTCGATTCCGGCCGGATAAAGGATTTTTTTGTAAGTGTTCTTTATATTAATAATTATAACAAACTAGTGGAGTAATTTCACATAAAATAATTGAATA